CTTCAGGGCATGCAGACCGGCCCTTGGAGTGGATCCGACAAAGACAAGGGAGACCGGAGTGGTCATTTCTGGCTTTTAACCGTCATCAGCCAGTCATTTCCAAACTCAGGATTCGAAACTCCGAGATTCGAACCCGGGACCTTTGGTCATTGAGTTTCATATTCTACCACTAGTCCACGGGCTCGTTGCTTTGTCGGTTGTGATCGTGAATATGATGGAACTGGGATGTTCATCCGATCTACCTGGTTAGGGCATATACTTGTCCCGAAAGTGCCTTGAGGCTCGTACTTAAGTGATATCAGGCTGTCACTTAGCGACCTTAGACATATGATGGAGTGGATCCGGCAACGACAGCCTTTACATTGCCTTTGTGACAGCCTTCGACCAAGTGAACCGCAAAAGAAAACGCAGCACTTTTTACCTCTGTAGCCTCCAGAAACACTGAAGGTCGGCTGATATTAAATAATGCCGGATATCGAGATCCTAGAAAGAAGAGGTGACTTCAGTATAAATGCCGACGCCAACGCGACCATGCTGAAGCAGTCAAGTTGTGACGATGCATGATGATACAAGCATATTCTCAAATACATACGAACTTTGGAGGGCTCTCATTTAAGACTGGCAGAAAAAACGCCCAGATGCAAGAACTGGAGCAGTAATCTACCAATCCTACCACATAAGAGAGATAAAAGGAAGAGGCACACACAAAATATTTTAACACGATGTATCAACGTTGCAAATGCTCATCACCTATTGGCATATCTAGCCAACCAAGTGACGTGTAGGGCACTACCAGTCTCATTGGACGAAGTCTCCACTCTCTGCTCAGGCAGATGCAGGGATTGGATTAGAATACTTTTGTGCTTGGACGGGCTAACAATCTCTTCCAGGTTGTAAGTATTATGGGTGCGCAACCCAAATGAAGTATATCGCCCAGCCTATTGTTAAAATACTCCCGACCGACACAGCGACGTTAGTCACGAGTTATGTCCATAGAGTATAAGATATAAAGTTTGAAGTGGCCAAAATGACATCGTTGGCGCTTGGGTGCAAAAGCGATACCACGAGAACCCTTTATGATCCTTCAATGAAGCCATGCCGTTGAAGGGAATTGACAGCATAAGGCAAATCTGTCGAAGGTCGTGCTGAAGATTGACGAATACCAGACTTGTTTGGAGCCTAAAGTTGGTAGGGATTGAGGTCTGCGAGGTATGTAATGATTGACTCAGGCCCACCAGACCATCGCCGGACAGTTGCAGGAATGTTGGCCTCATCATAAATGAAGGTGCTTGCCGGTAGCGAGACGAGCCAATACGCAGTCCTAGTGAGTTTTAAGTTTGAATGGCCCTACGTTAGCATGGCCTTCGTGGCATATTCTACTGTACGACATTTGAACCTACTTCCACAATAGTCATTTGCAGTCCGACTCATGTGATCGGGGCGTCGGTCACGTGTGACATGCATGGAAGGATTATTTGACAACCACTACGCTTACGCCAATCCCCAGTCGCCTTAACTTGGGCTCGCCATCTGGACACGTGATGTGTGGAAGTAAGGCCAATGGTGCAAAAACTGATCCGAAACAAAGATCCGTCGCAATAATAATGCTTCTGATATCAAGTCCACGAGGCTACCAAACTTGAAACAGAAGAGGTCTGTTCAACATCGAGCTCGTTGGTTTTCTTCTCAAGCTAGAGCACCTACATTTTCTACCACAGCAGCCCATCGAGCATGAAGAGATAATAGCAGTACAAACGAATAAGTACCTTAGCTCCCATGGAAATGATGAGGGTTAATCAACGAAAGTCATTCCAAATATTTCTACCTCTTAGCGTCTTGTCAGCAGCCCCGTCGTCGAATTTCCGAGACATTTAGCTGCCGTTACATCGGATGCAACTATTTGTGGTATTTAGCAGGCACTGGGCCGGCTAAAGCAAATTACATAGAAGCGACCCCCATCGAAATTGGCTGAACGGCGTTGCAGATTAGACCAATTGTTCGCTATGAATACCGGGCTTGGCATGCAGGCGAACGTTGTGCGTTCGCGGAATCCAGCTCCCAGGAGCTCGAACTTCTGATTCCCTAAATTCGGTTTGTTTCGGGAGTCTCACTTGCACTTTGACTGTCTTAGTAAATAGCAGCCAAGGCGTGGCGGCCATATAGTAAGCCTTCGATTTATGTTGTTGTATGACTGCTTGCCCTGTTGCTGTGGGGTGAACAATCGTGGCTTCGAGTACCTAGACTCCGGGGGAGTCAAGCGACGGGATAAACAACAAGGAGATATCGTCTCAAAGTGGACAATACACAGAATGTCATTTAACCCATACGACACCGAACCCCGTTCTGAATTTGCTTGGTAACTGAAGCACAAACACATGGGTAGGTGGAGGCGTGGTATGTCAGCAAAATGAGAACTGTCGTCATTCTAACGAATTTCGTAACATTGGGCGGTTTGTAGAAGTTGTTAGGCAGTCAGTGTCTGCCGTGAGTTGGAAGATATTCGTTCGCAACCACACACGGCGATGAGCAACAGTGAATTAAAGGAACCCGATCTATCACCTCATCTATCGATTACGATTGAATAGTGAAAGTCAAAGAATCACCGGCATTTTTAGAGAACTATGTTCAGATAGGTATTAAGCTGACTTCGTCACATTCAGCTAAATGGTAACACATGTAAGGCACGCCCAACTCGTTGGAGGAATGACAAAAATCCCGCCCAAACCACCTCCGACGGTTTTCTTTTATTACCTGAGAGATCTTATACTAGACTAGAAGCCAACTCATTCGAATCTACATGGGTAGACTACGCTTAAAACTCCGTATCTGACACCTGTTGATGAAAATTTTCCGTTTTCGCAGCTCTTCCACACGAGCTTTCCAACAACCGCAATGTTTCAGATGGATCGATAAGATGAATTCTCGCACGCAGCGGTTAGTGTTGGTTAGAACAGCACGAATGGCCTACATATACGTTTGAGGGTTTATAAAAACTCTGTGAGTAACATCGTTTGGTTAGATCATGCTATTTCTACTCCTTCGGGTTGAGAACATGCTGCCCGATATACTGGAAACTGTTTGCAATATCGGCCTGATAACTACTGATCACGAGGGGTTTCATTTGCTGTCGACAAATACATTTAGAGAATAAAACGATTCTCGTTTCGTTATTAAATAAGGAGGTAGATTTAAAGACTCAGTTCATTCGAATATCATCACAACTTGACGCTAGCTAGGTGATATGCCGAAGCGGAAGCCGGTATTCCGTTTGCTGTTGCAGGATATATAAGGGGGAGCCGCTAGCAATTCTCCTCAGGGCCCACCTACAGCGTACTTCAAGAGGTTAGACTACAGTGTGTAAGCTTTTTGAGCGCCGTACCACATAGCTCATGACTGAGATTGTTAAAAATGTAAACAACATCGCGCGTACCACCCTAAATACAGTATGTGGTGGGCGCGGAGTCATTATATTTTCACTTCTTTGTCTGAGTGCCTATTTCTCACAGTTTTCACGACCTGTGTATTCTGTGGCTTCTCCTTCGGCCCTCTCTTCTGCAATTTTTCGCACTACACGAACGGTTAAATATAGGACCAAGTTCGATTATATCCATCGAAGTTGCTCAGATTAGTTTGTCGCTTTGAAGCGAAGAGCTTTATTGCAAATGTACAAATATTTTTTTCGGTCGAACTCAAGGTGATGCTGTTCTAGAGACACTACGTATATAAAAGCCGTCCATGAAAAAAACCGTGACCTTAATGCTGAACGCTTAATAATATACCGCCCTATGAAGGAAATTCACCTCCCCTTTGCTTAACCATTAAGAGTATTAGGGGCGACGACGAAAATTCCAATTCTGCTGGATTTTTTGCCGACGCCGGTGTGTACGTGGTGTAGACATGAAATAAATCTCTCAGCCATATTTGAATGTGTTGACAGTATTTGCAAGCAAGAGCATGTGTAAATCCGTCATATCCATCGCAAAAAAGCAGCTATCTCATTGACAGACGTCACCGTGTTCTTTGATAAAGCATTCCGGGAACTCAGCGTAAACGGTATTGTCGTTATTATTTTAGAGGTCACCTTGTTAAATACTGGGGAAAAACCGTTAACTAGCCAAAATTTATTATTTGCTCAAAGCGTACTACAGACTCACTCGCACACTCAAGTAAGACGCTTCGCGTGAGTAACAGACCCCGGAACAAAGAAGAGGGTGTCTTCAAAACTGTCAGGGCTACATTAGTGACAAACTGCCAAAGGGCGTAATCGGCATTTAAGGCATTAAAATAAGTAGCTGTATAGTTAGCCTGTGATGGTTTTTGCATTTATTCATCAAGGCATGCGTGATCCGCTCGTAGGCAGCCAGTCCTGCATGACAATGAATAGTTGATGTCAGAGAGGAATGAAAATTAAATTACACCGACTTTTGCTAAGACATTCAACAACCACTACCAGCACGCGACGTAAAAGATTATCCAAGAGGGGCGGTCGATATGCTCCAAAATGTTTCTCCAATGAAGTCAACAAACGCGCTAGCTTGGAGGGGCGCCATGCGGCACCCCGAATTTAAAAAATCATGCATTAACATACATGTTATACCGCTTTCTTGAAGATGTAGGATTTGGGCGCATAAAGTGGGCAGTGAAAGAGACTACAGATATGAGTCGTACCTATGACATGCGTGAAAACTGCGTACTAAGTCCGGACTTAACTGAGAATTACACGGGATAATAGTGAGCAAAAAAGTATGTAAAGGGAGAGGCTATTATAGTATTAAAAGGCTACCTTCTAAAATTGCTTCTAATCGGTGTTTAATATGTTTGACAGTAGTGCTACGAAGTCACACCCCTGGTCAAAGAAAAAATGCAATGCGCATATGATTACTACAGACTGAAAATTGGTGGAAAATACCTTTTTTAGAAATTCGGCAGCCTTCAAGCATTTCACCGGGGTCATATCGACTTCAGACGCTTGTATTCGATCCAGGGTTTCTTTTTCGGATGTAACTTTAAAAGGTGTGAAGCCTGTAATCATCTCAAAGGCCACAACACCCAGGCTCCAAATGTCACATCTGAAATCATGCATAAAATCCATAGACGTCATTTCTGGAGCCAGATATGCCAATGTTCCCCAGACAGCCGTACGCCTAAGAGTTTAGTTAAAGTTATTTTCCGTTACTTTGAAGCTGGACTATGGACAGCGCAGCCAAAATCAGCAACCTTCAATTCCCCTCTCAGGCCGATAAGGGCGTTAGAAGGATTTATATCACGATGGATCACGTTTCGTTGGTGGCAATATGAGAGAGAGCTTGCCAACTGATACACATACTGCGGGCGAGTGGAAATTCTTCAAAGATGAGGACCTACCGTAGCAGAACGCTTAGCAGTGAACCTAAATCTTTGCATCTCCCTGGCCAGGTCACCGTTCGGAACGTATTCCAGAATGACATAAACTCGTTTTTCGTCATAAAAATAACCATATAAACGGACGATATTAGGATGCCTAAAATAAACTGATACTGATACTGAATTTAGCCTTACTTAAGATGGGACTGTATTTCAATCTCTCGCTGTAGTTGTTGCATAGTCTCTGGTGTTGAAAAGTGAAGTTTTGACATGATCTGTGGGTGTCAAAATAATATTAGACAGACCTTCAAGGAAGAAACGAAACGACTTTGCTTTTCCCTAGCAAGGTACACCGAACCAAACCTCCCTTTTCCTAGATTTTTGCCTATGTCAAAGTCATTGAGGGACCACCTTTTAACAGGCCTATTTAAAGACACCATTAGATCGAACAACGGAAGTTACGGTATCAACTCGCCGGGACTAGCCTTGGATGAAACACCACCCGGTAGTAACCTAAGTCTCTGTGGATCGTTGATAAAATGGCGCTGTAAAGCAGAACCACCCCTTCGGGCAGAAGCACCAGAGGGAGGAGAAAAAGAAGGTGTATCAGCCATATTGCCAGTGGGCTTACGAGCACAACACAGGCCTTGTGTAAGCAACAGGCAGAACCGTTAACCTCTTATTAGTATTCCCCGGCGGAGTCAAATTGGGCGCCCGATTGTTTAAAGACCTTAAGGATATACGGTGGCCATTTTGGGCGTTCTGCCATTTCCCTATAGATTTTATCATCAAAATCACTCCTATATTTGCCTCCAGCGAACCGTGCAACAAATATGTCAAGATCACACCTTAACCGACTTTCCAAATAAGTGCCAACACCCTGCTAATTGTTATTGTTTCGTGCTACCTATCAAAAACGTTACTTCTCGTTGTAGTCTGTGATATCGCGTCGACTTAACAACATTTTAACTTTATGTTTTAGGATTATCTCAAAGCATAGATGATGTTGTTTATCCTATTTAGTCGACTTTTTGACACTGGACACCTAATGCTCAACGAAATCATGGCGGTAATCATGCGTCAAAGTGGATTAATGTGCATGTAACCCGTTCCACTGGACTTCGGAATTCTACGGTGCGTATCAATAGACTAATTTAAGATTATCAAAACAGTTGTGAACATGGGAATTCTTACAGAAAAATGGATTCGGATGTCTAAATTAATGCGGAGAATGTCGCCCTATCATGCTGTACTGACACTAGGGTTTAGATGGATTAAACTGGTAAACAACGGGATGACCACAGTGGAGGACAGCAAAAAGTATAGCAGCAAGCTAAAAACAGTACAAAACTAGACGATGGCCAAAGCGAATTCCGTGTTGATAGTGTTAGGTCACTTGGCAGGACCAGAGTACTGCAAACAAGCCGAAGATGTGCGGACAGAAAACCTTCAAACCAAGTGGACTAAATTGTCAGAAACTGCATAAAACAGATCAAATTCTTTGAATAAGAAGTAAGGGTCTGTGGCGTGTGTCCTCCCCTATACCTGGTAAGCCGCGG